GTCAAGTATCAGTACTTTATTTTTAGCATTGTTGCAGGTGAGGTTTGATAAAACACCAGCAGCACATGTCAAATAATGAACATCATTTGAAGACAAGAAACCAATAAGTTGCTGCAAGAGTTCGTCCAAATTATCCTAAAATCAGAGGAGACGCACTGTACGTGTGGACCAGTTCTATTCTTTTCCTTACCTGCTTGGTAGCAGCATCAGAAAGATTCCTTAAAGTAAAGAGAATATTCTGTACTAGTCTATTGGAGCGATGTCCCAAATGGAGTGACAATACTTGCATACCACCAGCCTGTACTATCTCTGGTTTGTTGCTGGAACAAACTGAGAGTGCCTTCAATAGTCTACTGACTGTCCACAACAGTTTCTCATAAGTATAGATCCTCATGATTCTAACTAATAATGATGGGCCTCCACTGGCCAATACAATAAGCTAAAAGCAGATCAATAGTATCATTATTATTATCACTTTATTTAGACATTACTTTGCTGTCCTGGTGTCCATATGCTAATATATGCAAGCAATCAACAGTAATGGCTAGAAACTTAACATTATCTTTTACCAATAGAGCAACCATCTTTTCAAGGCCACCTAAAGAGAGAGAGAGAGGGAGATAAAAGTAATAATGCTACTAAAAGATTACTATGTGTATGTGTACATATACAGGCAGTACATTGTACATTTACAGTAATTTACAACTTTATAAATTGAATTGGCATGAGACATTCACAGAAGCTAATAATTACAAAAACATTTCAATAATTATAATTAGGAATACTACCGTACACAGACCACATGTGCCACAAATTAACATCAAATAATTTCAAATTAAAAAAGGCACCTGCAAGTCTAACGTCCATCTTTGCTGGTTCAAAATGAAGGAGCATGTTGTGGATTGTGGTGACAGCATAAAACAGGACAGCATCAACTGGTGAGGTGAGGAGTCGTACTAGGAATGGAATACCACTGCAGTTGTATATTACCAGTAGACCTTGACTGGAGAGAAAAGGACATTAAAATATAATATATGTACAGTGACCAGTGTGTGTGTGTCTGGAGGTGAGTATCAGTAATGTACTACCTGAGTCCCTTGATATCTGCCCTCAGCTTCACCTCAAGCAGATATCTCAGTCCTCAGGTATTACATTACTTATACACACACACACAGACACCTCCAGAGGGGCTGTTATTTTGAGTACCTGTTGCTTGATATGTTATGTACTGCTCCTGAAAGAGGTTTCTGGACCTCAGCATTATTAACACTAGCTAGTGTTTGAATGATCCCCTTCACTGCAGCTGGGTTAGCATTAATGGCGGTCAGACTTGCCTCCTTTTTGCTCAAATCATGAATCAGTTTAGATGCTTCAGTGATAACAGTCTGATCCTGATGGGACAATAGACTAATGATCTCTGGAAGGGCCTTTGCTGTCAACTCAGTGTTGCTCTACATGAAAGAAGATAGAGGTCAGTTCAAAACTGATTGATGTCTCGTACCTGATAGTTGACCAGGTTCTGGACAGCTGCTCTTATTATTTGAGTTGACTGGGTCATCCTCTGGAGGTTGCTCTGTCTCTCTGGGGCCACTTGAGTGTTTGGTACCTCCTCTCCCTCGGCTGAAGAGCCGGGAAACATAGTGAGCCTAACTCTATCACTAGAAGGAGAGGGAATTTAATTGATGTCATTATAATAAAACTATCCCATATTTCATTGATGGAGTGTCTACCCAATCCTCGTTAATAAAGAGGCAGTAGCCAGGCAACCAGACGGTTGCTATGGAAACAGTATATTATCACTTACCCACTGGTAGACTGTATCAACTGATCATTAGCTAGAGGGAGAAAGAGAGAGAGAGAGAGAGAGGGAGAGAGAGAGAGAGAGGTTATCAATAATGGTTGTGGTTCAGACCAGGTGTGGTGTTTACAGTATATGGCTTCGATTCAACTAATCTCAGCCCATGAATATTAATCACTACCTTATTAAAACATTAATTAATTAATCTTACCAATCCGTTCTTGACTCTGCCCCACTCCGGGTGGTAGGTGTGGCTGCTGCACAGGGGGAGGGGCGTGGCCATGAGATATGGTAGTGCTTGGTGGTGGAAAGTCGTCTGTGGTGAGTTGCTCCAGATCATCAATATCTTCGACTATTGAATGAGCCTTGGTGGTCACACCACTGGCAAAGGCTGAATCACCTGGTGAAGTAAAGGGGCCTTGTTTACCGTAACCTTAGGAACAATAATATACTAATAATATACTAATAATAATACTGATAGTATGTGCTAATAATATACTAATAATATACTAATTGTTACCGTTAGGAAATCCCAGGTTTTCCATAGTGGTGGGCGTGATTGGGTTGGAGGTGTTTGGGGTTATGGGATGCTGTTTCTGCTGCTGATAATATAAAATGTCACGATCAATTGCATTAATTTGAGACTGGATCTCACGTCTAGAGAAAGATACAACATATCATTAATTAAAGATGATTACAAACAAGGTCTTAAGTACATATGACAGATGAAGTGGTTACACTGTATTAGACAGTATTATGTGAAATAAAGAACCACAACAGACTGTAGTAGAGCTTCCCAACTCACCACAGACCCTCTCTCTCTCTCTCCCTCTCTCTCTCTCTCTCTCTCTCTCTCTCTTCCTCTCCCCTCCTTACTGATGATAAGGATTGTGTTGTAGTTCAGATAGTAGTCTTTGCTTTCTGTCACATAATGATTTGATCTCATAATCCTAATATAAAATACATGTACATGTACATGAATAGATCAATATAATGAGTACATGTGTCCATACAGCAACAGTATAGTCACACTGAGTACATTATGTACATTTACCCCTCCCTCTCTCTCTCTCTCTCTCTCTCTCTCTCTCTCTCTCTCTCTCTTACATGGTTTTCAGAATCAAAAAGATGCGATGGTGGCTGATGATAGTCTAGAGAGGAAGATTGTAAATTAAAGGTTGACATTATGAAACAATAATGTAGCACATTCCTTACCTTGATTCACAAGATCCATGGCAACCAGCTAATGATAGGCCAGAAGCTAAAAATAATTAAAGATTGTTATTATTATTATTATCACCATTATTATTATTATTATTACTATTAATAAAATAATAAATAAATAAATGGAAAAATGCTGTACTACTAATTACGTACACATGGACACTAATCAAAACTGATTATAAAGACAATTTGATTATTAGCAGCGAGACAGAGAGAGAGAGAGGGAAGAAGAGATGACTTTCATAAAGTGTTGAATGTACTTAGACTATTTTTAATAGACAGCAAAGCTATTCTGTTAAAATGGCTTCCACTTTCTTTCCGTTACAAGTTTAGAGGATCAGAGACGTATGGCCTCAAGGCAAGAAGTGTTTGCAACAAGGTATCTCAAAGAAATGCCGTCACAGAAAATGTGAAAGGTTTCGATTTTCCATGAAAAATGATGGAGTGCTTCATTTATTATTATTATTATTATTATTCAAACATTATCAGTAGTGGAGCAGGATTAAACTTACTATAAACGAGAGAGAGAGAGAGTTAACAGTGATTGTGATAAGGTTGACCGGTTGAGTAATAAACGGAATAAAAACTGTAAATCTGCTGCTGTTGATTGAACGACCAGGGGAAGATACCCTTCCCTTTACAAACAGACTGTGAGTTCCTTTAGCTGAAAACAACAGAGAGGGAGAGAGGGGGAGAGCGAGAGAGAGAGAGAAGACAAAAAGGAAGTCGTGAATATTATGAGGTAAACCAGCAAACTGATCTTGTGGGCGTGGCGTTTAATATTACTTTTAAAACCTTTAAAATAAACAGAATACGGTAAAAATATTAATGGGCATGGCTTCAATAAAAATTAATTATTAATTTTCCTGCGTGGGCGTTGGGGACTGCTGCACACATTGATAACATCATAATGCATATCTATAATCTTTTAACCTTCAACCCTTACCTTGTCCTTGTGATAATCTTTTCAATCCAATGGATAACAATTCGAGCAACCTGCCTAACAATTCCTGCGTCTCTACTTTCTCTGAGGCCCAGATCAAGTCAATACTTATAACATATGGCTCTGTTGGTGGACTAGCAACTCTCATCTGCTTCACTGGGCTCTGCCTGGCAATCTCTCTCAAACTATGGCGTCAGTTTGTGTACAGGCTCGCCATCTGCCAAGTTACAGCTGCACTGTTCATCGGGATATCAAGGACAATGCAGCTACCATTGATGCTGGCTGATGAGGAAGATGCTCTTTATAACAGACTCTGTAAAGCCATAGCTTTCTCTGTTGTCACTGGAGATTGGATAAAACTGCTATTTACACTCTGGATTGCTGTATATCTATTTGTATACTCTGTTTTCCTCACAAAGACTCTTAAAAAGTGTGAATATGCAGTGATACCAGTGTTCACCATCACTGGACTCCTTGTAGCTTCAGTACCTCTCATTACTGACACGTATGGCAAAGCTGGTGCATGGTGCTGGATAAAGAACAAAAGAGACACCTGCCCACACGAAGTATTGCTTGAAGGAGAGATAGAGCAGTTTGCTCTCTGGTTTGGACCAGCTCTATTCATGTTACTACTAAATTCTTTGCTGGTAGTGATCACTATGATTGTAATGGCTTATAGATTATGCTGTCCCAAGAAGCAGGCTGGGGAAAGTGTGACCAGCGATACAACTCCTTTATTAGAAACAAATCGAAAAGCTCTTTTGCTCCTCCTGCCTCTACTTGCATATCCTCTCATATATTGTATACTCATTATCATACCTCTCATCAACCGATTCTACCAGATAATTTCTCATGAATCTAGTTTTGGCATGTTTTTTACTTGTGCTGTTTTAATTCCAGGTGTTAGTTTTTCTGCTGGGACAGCATTTCTTATACACATTGCCGTGTTAGAAAGGAAGAAATTATGTCATGGGTTTGGCATTTGTAAAAAAAGGCAAAACAGAAATGGACTTGCTATTAATTCTACAGGTACAGTTGAAAGAGATGCCGAGCAACAAAGTGATGATGATCCTCTGAAAGTGACCAGAGCAAGCTCAACTCATACAGTGACTGTCGATGAAAGTGAAATTGAGAAGCAATTGTTCCCCTAACTCAATTATTAGTAATTATGCAAACTTTACTGATGAAAGTGAAACTTGACATCATTTTGTGTAATAAATAAAACTTTACCAAATCCCAACTAGTTGCGTGGGCGTTGTGCGTTGCGATATCTAATTAACTATGTGGGTGTAGTTGAAATAGGAGAGGAGGGGCTATTAATTTCTTGCATGTGTAGCAATGGCTGCTAATAATAAAGTTTGTTTATTATTAAAAGATATTCTTTCACTGATTATTAATAGTCTAGGGATGATTCAACAGGTAATACTGGAGCTACGCAAGATTCATCAATGACGTCAGTACAAAGCACTGAAGGGGAACCCCCCACTGCTGCTGGGAATGTTAAGAATGTCAGGAAGCCGAGAATGAAAGCTCTACTGAAGAAACTCCAAGATCAAGTAAGACACACCCATTACTAATAGCATATGGGTTTCGGAGCAACTTTAAAATTCATAAAAAAAACAATTTTGATTAATCCAGTGGGAATTTGCCCCTCAAATAAACAAAATTTATTTATCATCATTATTATTATTATTATTATTTCAGGTTGAGTTTTATTTCAGTGATGCTAATATTAGCAAGGACCGTTTCCTCAAGCAGAAGATGGCAGAGCATGCTCAAGGACGTGAGTGATATTGTCCCCTAGTGACCACAAAGTGATGGAGTCTGTCCCTGTACAGATATTCCTGTATCACTGATAGCATCTTTTAATAAAATGAAGTCACTCACGTCAGATCAATCACTCGTCATTGAAGCAATGGAGAAGAGCCCATTGTTAAAAGTAAGTTATTTATAACATTAATGTGTACAGTAATTGTAATAAAATTAAAAAAAATTATTATTATTATTATTAATATGACTATTCTACATGTGGAACAATATCATACAGTGTGTTCCTGTGGGTGTGGTTTGTTGTGGGTGTGGTTTGTCGTGAGTATGCATGTAATGTTTAAAACAATACAGAATTCCTATTAATGAAAGGTAGTTAATTAAATGAGTGGGCGGTTATTATAGTGACCTACCTATTGTCAGCCATGCTTGCATATCCATCACCTCCAGAAGTACTAAAATAAATAGTTTAATTAATTAATTAATATTTAATTAATTACTTGAGGGAACCAGCTATGACGTATTCATCTTCTGGTTCATCATCAAACTCACTAATTAATAATAATTAAATTATTATTATTAATTACAATTAGTTATTAATAGTTTTACTCACTCAAAGTGTGGGTTATGTCCAAATATGTACGAATCATGCTCCTCTTCGTTACCATAAGCAGGAGATGTACCCTCGCCAGGGGGAGGGGGGACAGGAGGAGGGAGAGGAGGGAGAGGGGGAGGGGGAGGGACGGCAGGAGGAGGAGGAGGGACGGGGGGAGGAGGGACGGGGGGAGGGACATTACCATACTCTGCAGCTGGTAGGGTATCAGCTGCTGCTGGTACATTACCATAAGCAGCAATAGGAGGAGATCCGTTTGAAGGGACGTTACCATAAGCAACAATAGGAGGGGAATCATTAGATGGGACATTACCATAAGCAGCAATAGGAGGGGAATCGTTAGATGGGACGTTACCATAAGCAGCAATAGGAGGGGAATCGTTAGATGGGACGTTACCATAAGCAGCAATAGGAGGGGAATCGTTAGATGGGACGTTACCATAAGCAGCAATAGAAGGGGAATCGTTAGATGGGATGTTACCATATGAAGCAATGGAAGTATCTGGTACTTGTACATTAACATATGGAGGGACACCAGCAGGTGGTACATTACCATACGAGACTGGAGGTGCCTCAGTTGAAGGAACATTTGGTGGGTGTGTCTCCGATATAACTGGTGGAGTACTAAATGAAGACATTGGACTACTAGTTGCCTGTGATGGTGGCGTGGTTGGTAAGCGTTGCTGTGAGTTTACATTATGGAGATTAAGAGGAGGTGGTTTATTGGCTCGCTGAATGCTCCCAGCTGAGAATGAGGAACTGACTGGTCTGGAGGACTGATGGGATCCTATGGAACCAGGTGGTATGGACACAGTTGGTGAAGAAGGAGTGTGTCTGTTGGTTAGGTTACGAGGAGGGAGTGCCGGTGGTACCACCTGGTCAATAGTATCGTAAGGATTAGCTGGTTCACTGGGAATAATTGGAGCTGTGACAGCCCTGGGTCGATTTTGACCATGTTGAGTACGACCCAGTGAAGATGTCGACTGTACTTGTGGTCTTGGCAAGGATCGAGTTGCATTTAATGGCCTTAGCTCAGTGGCATCAATCTCTTCATCATCGTCATACTGCGGAGTCGTGTGGGTTATTTCTAGTGCTCCTTGGACACTCCTTCTCTTATCTTTCTCTTTCCTGATGGAGCAGATGACAGCACAGCAGACTATGCAGTAGAATATCAGTGCTAGCAGTGCCCCTGTTGGTAGGGCAATGATACATATTACTGTAATAAAGAGAGAGAGAGGGAGGGAGGGAGGGGGAGAATTATGATTATGTTGTGTTTATGAATTGGCTTACAATCAAAGTCTTGATCTATAGAAAAAGAAAATAGATCATTTTTAAACAGATATTTTCCTCTCTTTCTCTTTACCTGTTGTAACAGTAATGGCAGGTGCTAGTCCTTCCTCCAGTTGGTAATTGAACATACTGAACTCTGTCAGTGTTTCATTGATACTATAGTACCTAGAACTTTTATCAGAGAGCTCTCTTATCCTAAAGACTCTCCAATCATTGGTCATACACTGATCACTAATGGCTGGTATGTGGAACCCAATGACGTCCCCGTTCTCGTAAGGCCAGTTAAGACTGTACTCTGACGTTGGGTAGCTCAAGTTCTGTCTCTGGACCAGCTGGTACATATACGTAGTGTCATTCAGTCTCCACAGCTGCACTTCAAAATCATTACTATCATCATCTCCATTATAAGCAGCTGCTCCATTACATTCTATCATAGAGCCTCTATAACTCACGGTCCTAATGGTTCCTCTACAGTGGAAACTGAGTGTCGTTATGACTCTAGTTGCTCCAGCTGTAAAGGATTGGTATGTACTGTTGGGAGCTTCACTAATCTCAGACTCCGTTGGAAACCGAGGAGCACACTGGCATACTGGTATACCTGTGGAGGGGAAGGATCGTTGGTTGGTTGCTTAGTTACTGGTTGATGGATGCAAAATGCAAACACATGTACAGTCCAGCTCTTAATAGTATACTAGTGTTAGTGTTAGTGTTAGTGTTAGTGTTAGTAATAGTGTTAGTGTTAGTGTTAGTGGTAGTAATAGTGTTAGTGTTAGTGTTAGTGTTATACTAGTGTTATGCCTTTGTTTCTAATAATGCATTCAAGCTGTAACTTACTTTCCAGCTGCTGGTGACCTAAAGAGGGAAATAGATCATTAATAATAATTAACAATAATTCATAATAGCATATTTACTTGATTCTATCAGTGCCATGAGTAATACTAGTATTTTAAGTGTAGCCATGTCTCCTCTTCTTCCTCCAATGGAGTCTCTTCCAAACAGACACACCCTGGTACTAACGATATTCATGTGCTGGGGGCTTCTCTTTTGAATTTAAATCCATGAATAATTAATTATTATATCCCTCCAGTTGACCCCTGACCGTGAATATGTTTATAGAGTGGAGCCACTCCCACTGCTTGAAGAGAAAGAGGTCAATTCAAGAACAATATATGTGGTATGAATAAATAATGAGATGGGTGGAGCTATTGTGTTGTTGTTTACATAATTTGTTGTTGTTTTTTGTTTGTTGTTTGTAGGAGAATTTGCCTCCCAAAGCTGATCACAAACGTCTCAATTCTCTCTTTAGTTCTTTTGGAGTTGTCACTTACATTAGGTACTTAACAGTTTTATCTATTGTTCTAATGATTAGCTTCAGTCTGCCACGTCACAAGGTTTCTAATGCAATCAAAGGTTTTGCTTTTATTGAGTTTGCTACATCAGAGGAAGCTGAAAAGGCCTTGGAAGTAAGTAATTATTTAAAACATTCTACAATTTTTATCAATTTCTTTTGTAGTTTCTCCAATTGAATGATGAAACTGATAAAGCTACTGATGATACTGTTAGTGATAATACTGCAGCTGCTACTGGCCCTCCAGTAGAGGACAATGTCTTCATTTCAAACAAAACAATTGCAGAAACAAGTGGTACTCTCACTGAAGGAGAAGTGGCAGCTGGTAAAGATTCAAATGTGGTTGATGGGAGCAGTAGAGTAGAGACACTAACAGCTGGCCCTACTAATGAAACAGGATTGGGTAGCAGCTGTGGTTCAAGTACTGTTGGTGTGTCTTTAAAAAGAAAGAGAGACTCCATTGAAGAACAAGAAGGAACTAATGATAGTAAGAGACCAGCAGATACAGGAGCTGATAATGAAGATACAACAGCTGGTGATGAAGGAAGTGATGGAGTGACCAGCACAAGATCTGCTGCTGGAGAGAGAGAAGAGAAGAAAAGAGAAAGAGACATTATTGGTGAGGAGGACAAGCCAGCAAAAAGAATAAAGACAGATGACACTGAAAGAGGAGCATCTCATGTTGAAGATGAAAGCAGCTCTGATGAAGGAGGCCATTCAACACTGAACAGACTCAACTCAACTGTATTATCTGAAGTATGTGAACATGCATGGCACATTTGGCAGTTGAGATACAATGGACTATAGCACATGCTTCTTTCCAAAAATTGACTCCAAAATCAACCCCAATCTTACTAATGTCATTATGCTGTAGGTTTCTGTGGCTGAAGAAGTTGATGGTGAGGAAGAGGACGGAGAGAAAAAGAAGAAAAATAAAATGAGACGACATCGAAAGAGAAGATTGAGCAGAGCACAGTACTTGAAGACACTTCAGTTGAAAGCAATGTCAAAGTATTTGAAATTAATAATAATAATAATAATCATGATGATGATTTCTAGAGAGAAGTGGCTGGAGATGAAAGTTTTGTTTAAAAAGTTAGAGAAAGATCACATGAAAGAATTAAAAGGTCACGTTAAGAGTAAAGATGAGGATGATAAAGCAAAAACTAAAGGATTTGTTTCAAATTGTCTGGTCAAGATAAGGTCCACTAAAGATGACATCACCCCTGACCAGCTGAAAGTAAAGCAATGTCACTCATTCAGCCATTTTGTTATTTTTTATTATATAGAACTCCTGTTCACCATTTGGTCCTGTGGCATATGTTGATTTTAAAAAAGGAGACACTGAAGTGAGAGAGAGAGAGAGAGGGAGGGAGAGCATTACAGTACTGCTATCACTAGGGGTATGTGAGATTCGGTACGTCAGGCTGTGTTGATCAACTCACTAAAGAAAGTTCAGTATTACTTGAAGGAGTCGCTTTTCAAGCTCTGGAAGGTAACAGTAATTCATTTTCGTTTCTTTTGATTTTATGAATCATGTATAGAGGATGAAGAGAGAGAATATTTCTTAAAGACCCAAACTGCTAGAAAGCAACACTTCAGTAACAGAAAACGTAAAACCACAAGAGGCCATGATAAAGTGAGTCAACATGTTCTTTAAATGTTTAACTCTTAAGTATCAACTTGTAACAGCTCATCAGTAAGGCTCTCAGCAAATCTTCCGTCGTCAAAGAAGACAAAAACCCAAAACCTTCTTCATCTCATATAAGGTTCTCAGACAATGATGAATAAAAATGTCATTTGGAATAAAGACATAATGTGTTGACGATAATATCTTAATAATACATTAATAATAATTAATAATACATTAATAATAATTAATTATACATTAATAATAATTAATAATACATTAATAATAATTAATTATACATTAATAATAATTAATTATACATTAATAATACATTAACAATATATTAATAAATCATTTGCTGATCAATTTGGCGACTATAGCCCCTCCTATAACGGCTAATGTTCCAACAGCAGCTGCTCCTACCAGAGCTGCCCCGCCCACCACTCCTGCCGCAATTAGATTATCTATTAAAGACAAAGCAGCAATAATAATAAACATGGCTGACACACTACCTTGCTGTATTTTTCCTGATACAAGTTTCTTAAGGTCCTTTGCTTGACTGTTGTTCGGCTCCATGTGAAGTACTCTGTTAATACATTGTTCAGCTTCTGAATACTCCTCTAGTTTGTAATAGGCGAGTGCTAAGAAATAAAGATAGTCTCTTTGATCAGTACCATCTTGACACAACTCTAGGAACAAGAAAAAGAATAAATGATTGCTCCATTTTAACTTGGTAAAAATAGTGATAATGCATTCATATACCTCCCATTATTGAAATTCCTTTCTTAATATCATCTTTATATCTGCTCTTGATCAAATGCCATGCATAAGAGAACCTGTCTTGGTCAGTTAGACTCCCTTCTTCATTCTTCTTCTTGTATTCTTTCTCTGCTGCCTGTAGTCAATAAAAATATAAAGAGATTGGCCCCATGAGGAGTCTACCTGTATCATTGCTAAAGGAATAAAGTCCCCTATAATTGCTTTCTCTAGTTCTGAGTTGTCAGCCATCTTTAAATGGGTGGAGGTGATAGGAGGGATTAAGTATGACGTCACTATGGGGTTGGGTGGGCTTTAATTAGAATTGTTCCCCAATGGCCGAGGGATTGTCAAACAGAATGAGTGCCCTCTCTGGTAAAGAAACCCTCTCCCTCTCTTACCTCTCCTCTCTCTCTCCCTCCCTCTAGTCCAATCAGAGGAGAGCAATGAAAGCAGGAGTACTGCTCGAGGGACCTCTTCTTCTCCTAAACCTTCCCCCAAAGCCTCCCCAATCCTCCTGAGGAAAGATGATGTTAGCAGTGTGGGGACCGGGAGCGAGGCTTCCCCTACCACAGCAAGGAGGAGAGAACTGGATGTAAGTAGAATATAACACTGAGCATTATATTTTGCATGAATTATTAATATATATCATTCAAACCTTTAATATCAGAATGACCCTAATGTACATACTGATCCATTTAATGAGCTACTCCTACATTGCATGTACATGTACATGTACAGTGGCAGTAATATGATATTATTAATGAACTGCAGCTACTAATTATTTAATTATCATTTTTAATCTAATTTTGATTTTTTTGTTTACATTTGTGGTTACTTAATGTTATAATTATTATATCTATACTTTGTTTATTAATTATTATCTATTTTGTTTATATTTATTTTTGAGCTATTTTGGATATTATTTAGACTATATGTACGTGAAATAATTTTCATTTTCCAAATATTTTCGTTCTTATCTACTATACATGTACATGTACATGTAGTCCAGCCCCTCTGGAGGTGTGTGTGTAAGTAATGTAATACCTGAGGACTGAGATATCTGCTTGAGGTGAAGCTGAGGGCAGATATCAAGGGACTCAGGTATTACATTACTGATACTCACCGGTCATGGTATGATTGGTATGATTGGTATGTACTCATGGTATGTCATTAGGTTCTTGTTGAGGCTCAGGCCCATACTTCATTACCTGGAGATCCTCCATTGCTACCAGGAGAACTGCTCAGTTACATAGGTGAGCCCAACCAATATGAACATGTCTAATAGCTACTGTGTGTATTTATATGTGTTGTATAATTTGTTTATTTTATAGAGCATAAGATCACATATTTGGATCATTTCCTTGGATCAATTGAAGGGACAGTCTACATTACCAGCTACAAGATGTACTTCAAATCTGATCCCAATCCTAAGAACACTGTAAATATCATTCATTTATTTATATTTTTATTTATTTATATTTTCAAATAGGAAGAGTCTGTGGTATTGAATGTCCCCCTTGGTGTTATCAGCCATGTTGAGAAGATCGGAAGATCAAGACAGAAAGGAGATAATGTCATATATGGACTTGATGTTCACTGCAAGGTTCGGAAGAATAACATATGACTGTTAGCTTTTAACCATATAATATGTTTATCTATGCACACACACACACTCTCTTCCTCCCTCTCTCCTCTCCTCCCTCCCTCTCTCAGGATATGAGGACGTTAAGGTTTGCTTTTGCTCATAATCAAGAGTCTCACGGTAGAAGAGGAATGTATGACCGACTGCAGGTATAATGATGCCCTACTATTATCTCTATTTAATGCCCATCCTTTCTCTCGTATATTAGATTGTAGCTTTTCCATGTTCTTATGGAAAGGTAATAGAATAAATAAATAATAATAAAATTATAATTAATTGATTTCTTTTAGAATGTTTATGCGTTTCATTTCCGTGGTGATTACCCTGACGATGGTTGGGAGGTGTATGATCCAGAGGCTGAACTGAAGAGAATGGTAACCTTTTGTTTACTGATTTGTTTACTTGTTTGTTGTTTGTTGTTTACTTGTTTGTTGTTTGTTGTTGTTAGGGTGTTGGTAATGATGGAGTTCCATGGAGGATTTGTCATTTAAATAAAAATTATGAGCTTTGTGATACATACACATCAACGGTGGGTTGGGCTTTATTGTTATTATTATTTTATTTTATTAATTCAGTTTTCCGTTCCTTTGAATTGCAGTGATGAGATGGTACAAGGTGTGGCTCAGTTCAGGAGTAAAGGAAGAATACCAGTAATTCAATTTTAATATTATACGTGTATCAGAAAATGAAGACTCTTCTCTGAGTGTGCTAAATATAGTACAGGCTGATTTTTAAGCAACTTCAAAAATTTATGAAAAATTCAAATTTGATCGGAATCAGCTCAAACTTTCTACACAACATAAGAACATGTATATGTATTAGGAAAAGTCATTAAAATTGAGAATTCTCTCCTTTTCAATTTTGGCGAAATTTGGCCAATGACCCAAGGCTATAGCCTTGGGTCGTTAGCTCGATTTTTGAGCAACTTAAAAAATTTATAAAAAATCCAAATTTGATTGGAATTAACTCAAACTTTCTACACAACATAAGAACATGTATATGCATTAGGAAAAGTTATAAAAATGGAGAATTCTCTCCTTTTCAATTTTGGCGAAATTTGGCCAATGACCCAAGGCTATAGCCTTGGGTCGTTAGCTCGATTTTTGAGCAACTTTAAAAATTTGTGAAAAATTCAAATTTGATTGGAATCAGCTCAAACTTTCTACACAACATAAGAACATGTATATGCATCAGGAAAAGTTATAAAAATGGAGAATTCTCTCCTTTTCAATTTTGGCGAAATTTGGCCAATGACCCAAGGCTATAGCCTTGGGTCATTAGCTCAATTTTTGAGCAACTTTAAAAATTTATAAAAAATCCAAATTTGATTGGAATTAGCTCAAACTTTCTACACAACATAAGAACATGTATATGCATCAGGAAAAGTTATAAAAATGGAGAATTCTCTCCTTTTCAATTTTGGTGAAATTTGACCCGAGACCGTGTACTATAGTACAGGGTCTTTGGCCTGATTTTGGAGCAGGAGCAACTTTGAAAAAATGCAATTTTATTGAAATAAAGTCAAAACTTCTACACTACATGCTTATGCGTTAGGAAACTCTATTATTATTTTTATTTTTGTTGTTGTTATTGTTGTTGTTTTTGTTGTTGTTGTTATTGTTATAATCTCTGCTGTAGGTCCTGTCTTGGCTCCACCCAGTGACCCAGGCCTCCATCACCAGGTGCAGTCAGCCACTGGTGGGTACTATGAACAGACGAAGTAAAGAAGACGAACAATACATGCAGGAGATACTCAAAGCTAATGATAAGTCTAATAAGTTATACATACTGGACGCCAGACCTAAGATCAACGCCATGACAAACGTGGTATGACCATTAACTGTTGTATATAGAATATCTTCTTTATTGCCCCGCCCCTTTCTCCGCCCACTCAGGCAATGGGAGGCGGTTATGAACATGAGGATTGCTATGTTAACATGGACTTTAGTTTTCTTGACATCGGCAATATCCACGTTATGAGGGAAAGGTTAGATCATGTACATTTTATCACATAAGCTTGTGATGTTTAAACTATATTAATCCTCTCCCTCTCTCTCTCTCTCTCTGATAGTTTAAAGAAGCTGAGGGAGATATGTTATCCTGATGTTGATGATCAAAGATGGTTCTCAAACCTGGAGTCCTCTCACTGGCTGGATCACATCAAAGTAATTAATTTATTATCATTATTATTATTATTATCATTATTATTTCTTTTTTATTTTTCTCGTTGTTGTTATTGTTTTTTATTTCTGATAATGCTAAATTATATATTTTTGACTTAAAAATTGACAATTTCAATGTTCCAAGTGCAAACTTTCATTGTTATTTTAACCCTTTGATAAAAGAATATATCCTTTCACAGTTTCACTGTATTGTACTCCTGTATGATAATTGAATAAATGAATAAACGAGACTGTATTATCATGCATTATGTGATTACTGATCCATAGTATAATGATAGTATTTCCTTAGTGAGTTCACTTCCTCCATTGATAAGATATGTACTTACAGCCCACGGGGGGACTCACCCACTTTATCTCTACTAGTACACAATAATGGAGCCACCATTATTGTTTTATATACATGTACATGTACATGTATTATTATTATTATTATTATTATTATTATTATTATTATTATTATTATTATTTATTTCTTTTATAGGCCATATTGTGTGGTGCAGTTAAAGTTGTTGAGTGTGTTGAGACTCACAAGTCTTCAGTGGTGGTACACTGCACTGATGGGTGGGACAGAACTGCTCAGATAACCTCATTATCAATGCTAATGATGGACTCTTACTTTAGGACCATTAAAGGGTTTGAGGTAAGGGGCGGGGTTAAAGGGAGGAGCTTATAGCCTGTGGCTTTAATAGGTTTTGGTTGAAAAGGAATGGCTAGGCTGTGGACACAAATTTTCACAAGTAAAAAACACTAAAACTAGACACACAATTAAAATTTCTCTCTCCATTCCAGCGAACTGGTCATGGTGATAAGAACCACAGTGACGACCAGAGGTCACCGATATTCCTCCAGTTTATCGATTGCGTCTGGCAGCTAATGGAACAGTTTCCAACTGCTTTTGAATTCAACGAACACTTCCTTATAACAATACTGGACCACTTATACAGGTAATCCATGTGTACATGTAATCCACATTCAACTGGTGTATCATTCCTTTAGCTGTCTCTTTGGTACTTTCCTCTTTAACTGTGAGAGACTAAGAGTTGAAGCAGTAAGTCTAGATCATTGAGAGTATGTGTGTACTGTATCCTGCTACTGCATGTACACGTGTACATTGTGTTATACTGTATGGGGACATGTTGATCATGTGTGCGTGTGTTCATGTACTTCAATGTTTTCTGTTTAGGGTGTGAAGGATAAGACAGTGTCACTCTGGAGCTTTGTCAACAGTCAGGTACAGGAGACACTGTGGTGCTAGTCATTCATTCATTTATTTATTTATTTATTTTTATAGATTGATGTCTATAAGAATCCTTTATATGCTGAACTAATGAACAACAAAGTGAATAATTATAAATATTATATCATTTTTATTCCTCTCTCTCTCTCCCTCCCTTCAGGTCCTGTTCCCACGTACCAGTATAAGGATATTAAAGTTATGGACTGGTTATTATATGAGATGGAATCCTCGTATGAAGCCACAGGTATGGCTACCAGCTGCTACTGACTTTATTGTCATTTATTGTGTAGGAGAGTGAGTTTGAGCGATCACGACAGCTGCAAATATTAATAAAACTGGTAAGATTATCAGTAACAGTCTGACTGTACCCATTATTACATGTAGTTGAGGCTCATTAATTAAATCATTATTAATTGGCACGCCCCTACAAATGAGGAGCTTCTATTTACTACACCTACTGTACTGTACTATTAGTGCTATGGTGTCATTATACACGTGTATAATGTATTAGTAATGTACTCCAATACTGTACTTGTGTATACTCTCAGGGTTGACCTTAATACTTAGGCAGCTGCAGTATCACTGTTGACATTATTTATTAATGTCTATCTGTGTTTGTGTGTGTGTGTGTGTGTTCTGTTTCTGGAACCAGTACTCCTAAATAATTAGCATATTTTTTTAACTTAAAGTACTGTCCCTTCACATGTTTACGTTTAACACTTCTACAACTGCCACCTGATGATTGATGGCACATGTGACGTGGGTACTACTGCAGTGTAGCTGTGTCAGTTATATGGCTGCTTGTTTTAGTCCCTTCAAATTGAATTATACTGTTGCATATTTACTATTATTGCTATTATTGTTATTGTTTGATTGTAGCTGAAGGAAAAGTGTCAGGAGCTGACGGAACAGCAGCGGAACATAACAGCAGCTGTTCTTAACAGTGATGGCAGCACTCAGCCTTCTTAGCTATTAACTCTTTTTGTATTCAATATTATAATAAATAAATATAATAGTATTAATATTAATTATTTCAAATCTTGTCACTCAGTAATATTATTATTATTATTTCTTTTCTCTCTTAAATACAGTTTTATTTTGTAGCTGTAGCCATGTCGTTTCGTCTCCCTCTCTCTCTGTCAGTAATAATATTTATAATATTATTATTATGTTTTATGTAATTCTTGTCCTTTTTCTGCTGTAACATAGCATCAGTTTTTAGCTAAATATTATCAATAATTTATTACAATGGCAGTGTAGTCTACATTGTAGAATCATTTACTATTATGGTGAAAGATGTCAGTGGGTCTTACCCTATCATTATTGTGACAACAATGAGTGATTTACAATCCTGAAATACCCTCCACTCTAAATTTTAGCCTTATCTCAACAGGTAGTGAAGTTATCATAAAGTACACACTTTTAGTAAACAAATGAACTACATACAATCAACACAAGACAAGGTACAAACACAATAATAATAATAATAATAATAGTCTCATTTCCACAGCTGGCTACATTCATACATGTACTCACTCTCATCAAGTTCGGAACATGTAGTACTCCCAACACTCAATATTTCTTGAAGGTCTTGTATCACAATGTCTTTTGTTGCTGAGCTAATATATGATTTCGGAGTATGTCTCTTGTAACGCTCTAGGTTCTTCTCTAAACTGTGTGTTAGTTTTTCCAGCTCTAAAATCTCATCTGAAGTTTCTTTAATGGCTACCAGTCTAGTGCTGTCCCCTTGCTTGAGCCTGCTAATAGCATCCTTTACAACAGCTTGTTGTTCTGTTGTCTTCTCTTTTAGCTCTTGAATATTTCTCTCCAGTTTATCAGAGCTCCTCTCTACCCTCTGCTTGTAGTTGCTCAGTTCTCTTTTTGCAATGTCATGCTCTGTTTCCAACGTGCTCTCTATGTTGTACGAATGACCTTCAATGTTTGTCTTGGCTTCGTTGTATTTTGCTATTGTCATTGTCTTCATTTTTTTTAGATAATCCATAAGTTCATCAGTTTCTGTAGAGTCCAGTTGCAGGAGAGAAGGATGTGGTTGTGAAGGAGGTTCAAACATTAGATATGACTGATCTACTTCGTCTGTCTCTATGCTACCAGCTGGTGCTCCAGAAGCAATTGTAGCTGTTGAATCATTTGGCTCAAGAGTTTGAAATGATGGTACTATTATAATGAAAATAATGAAATTAAAATCTAAACTAATGTGGGCCAATTAATTCTTGTTGACATTATTTTATTTATTAGACTATATTGCATGAACACATACTGTAAGTTTTTCTTATTTCTTCTGCAGTTTGTGGGTCCTCACTGTCAATGAGAGCTCTCACGACCTGTTCCCATTCTTGCCCAGGCCTGGCACAATTCTTGAGGAAGTAGTCAAGGCATTCCATGAAAGTCCTGTCTTCCTGGCGACAGTTTTGCATCTCTATTTTTCTAACTGTGTCCAGTTTGAGTCCCATGTACACCAAAAGGACATTCTTGTCAGCTCTGGTGTCCTTCAGTGCTCTAAGCAGCTCCGAAAGACTCGGCGGCTCTGGCGGCTGCCGAGACATTTTTGTTCGCCGTGGAAATATCAAATCTAAATCAAATCTATAGTGTTAGTGCAGTTTTAAAGGTGCTTTCCTTTTATGAAATAGCTGACTATGCAAAAACATTTCCTTGATTTTATTTATAAAGCCAAGGGTATTTTGTCGTAGGATTGTTTTCTCTCCTCCAGTAGCCGCCCGTCTCGTCACTAGTAAGCTGCAAATTCAAAGGCAAGTTCTCCGAGAATGGATGGGCCCAAACAAGATGGCTACAGCAGCATAGGCTGCTCTATTCACCCCGGAGAGTCTGTGCACAAATACTGCCAAGAGTGTCGGGCCCTGCTTTGTTTTATTTGCGTGCAGAGCAGTGACGGCCACAGACATAGCCAGCACCAAAACTCACTTGTCTCTTACAAGGCTTTTGTCAAAGAGAAAGAGAAGGAGGCTCTCAAGATGCTGCAGCGACTCAAAGAGCTCAGAGCTAGAGCAGAACACTTTGACCGACTTCTTGCCTGCTACAAGGAAAACTTTGAGGAAAGCTACAAGCAGTCAGAGGGATATCTGGAATCATTTGAGACAGTAAAGGTCTCCATGAGACAATGGAAGAGAGATCTCATTGAGGAGCTTGACTCCAAGAAGGAAGAGCAAGTTAGAAATATCAACGAGAGGATCTCTCAAACGAAAGAAGGTATTGTAACCAGCAGGAAGATTGAAGTCAAGCTCCCAACAGTAGCTGTATTCCTCCCACTCCAGAGGGAAATGCGAAACAAGATACTTAATCTAGTACCAAGGTCCTACACTGGTTTTAGCAGTCGAGGGAGTTCAGAACGAAAGCATGGCTCAAGGCACAGCTATATGAAGTCATCATTGGATGACATGGCCTCTCTAAACAGCATCACCAGCTCTGTATTCAGTCCAATGAGACCGTACGTGAGTCAAGTTAGTCAAGTGGATGAGCACACTTACGATGAAGTTGATAGCCTAACTAGCTTTCAGACTGATTCAGTGGAACTTGGAGAAACAGCGCTCTACAAAAAGCTGCCACCTGCAAAACCA